TTTCGTATTAACGATTGAATCCACCACCAAAACCTCCCATTGGCATGTTATTAGGAATAAATCCTCTCATCATTCCAAATCCTCCCATCATTTCATTTTGTTGTTCTGTTATTACTTCAACATTATCACAGTCAATCTGGTTGATTGAATTTGATGTATCAACTATCTTTATATCATGACATCTTACCATTTTAACTTCTTTTCCTTTCATGTCATTATCAATATCAATTAGATCACACTCTTCCATTTCAAGCTTCTTCAAAGATTCACTTAATTTAATTCTAATGTCATTCATTCTTTTCAATACAAGTTCTTCTTTACATCGTTGAATGATACTATAAGTTTCAGTACTGTTAATTATACAGACTTTGTTACATGGTACAATTGATACAGTTCCATATAATTTAGTATTTTCAATATGCACTTTGTCAATGATATTGTTATCATCAATTGATGATACACCAATACCTACTTGACTATCAATAACTTCTAATGATTTTTTAATTTTACCAATTTTAAAATAGTTATTCTCAAATTTGTTAATCATTACTGATTCAGCACATCCAATTCTTGATGTAGTTTTTTCACCAATAAATGGAGTATCATTACCCATACAATTAATGAGTTTGATATTTCCATATTCTTCATATTCTCCTTCAAATCTGAATTTTTTACAATTTTCTATTGTAACATCACTATTAATATTACTTCTAATTTTAATATTATGATCATGAATATTTCTTATTATAACATATTTCTTATCTGTTTCTATTTCTATATCTTTATTTGTATTATTTATTTCTATTATTTCTGTATCTTCTTTTATAACATTCTTTGTTTCTGGAATATTACATTCTTCATTATCTATTGTGATGATTTCTTCAATATTATCTAACTTCCCTGTGATTTCTGTGTTTTTACATTTTGTTATTTTCATTTCTTTGATTTGATTCTTGTTGATTATGAATTGACAATTCTCACATTCATCAATACATAATTTCTTACATTTATCAAATAATTCTTCAAAGATATAATCTTTCATTGATACAATATATATCTCTTCTGCTTCTTTCAGAGGTACTTTAATGTATTCTTCAATTGATTTAAATATAATTCTTTTTGGTTTAACATCAATTTCATTGATTGTAGATTCAATAACTTTCATTGTATTACATCTTTCATTTCCTGTAATATTCACTTGTTTAGATTGTGATACTATCAGTTTATTGATTGGACATTTTGATTTTACATTAATCTGTTTTCCTTCTAATATTTCAATATTTTGTTCATTATTAGATTCTATTTCAAATTTGAAATTCTCACATTCTTTAATACAAATATTGTTTGATTTATTTGTTGATAATTTGATTTGTGTTTGTTTATTTCTTTCTAATTTCAATCTTTCAATACAATCTGATTTAATATTAATTTTACATTCTCTACAATTGATTACTTCAATACTCTTTAATTTATTTGATATTAAACTAACATTTAAATTAGAGCAATAGTTCAATCGAAGTAATTCAAGATTTTGGAATGTGTAGATATTCTCTTGTATTTCTTTCCAATATCTTCTTTTATTAGTTGTAGTAATTCCCTGTTCTTCATTCTTTTCATTTATTTTTATTTCATTAATCCCATCTATTATTAACTGTTTTAAATTATTTATTGATTGAAGTTCAAGTGAAGATTGTTGTCCATGCATTTCTACACACTCAATATGTTTGTTGTTCAT